ATATCAAGAGTGCATAATAGAGATTATGCCTCTATTATGCACTCTTGATATATATATATATCGATAGCGGGGGCGATGATTCTGTCTCTCTCTATATATATATATAGATAGCAGGGATGAGTCTGTCTTTCTCTCTATGTCAATAGCAGCAAATGATTCTATCTGGTTCTCTCATGTAGCGCTTGCTCACTCGCACCTTCACGTGCACAGTTGCGAGTGTGGATTCACGTTGTTGGGATGTAGACGGAAGAGGTTGGCACTTGGTTGTGCAGGGGCTCTTTCATACACTGACGCACACAAGCACACATGTGTGCGCTCACTTACTCATGTACTGATGTTTTACAGAGATATTCCTAACCTTAAGCAGAAGGTAGCAGGCAAGAGCATTCCAGTAGAAAAGTTTGCCTTGCGCAAGGCGAGGAAATTTGCGATGCAGGGGAACAGACTTGTGTTGCCAGGCCTGGTGAGTGCAGTGTTGCATAATGTACTGTGAACGTGAATAAGCGCCATATTTTTCTCTGCATACTTCTTTGCTTCTTAGAACACTCTACTGACGACACAACCTGCAGTCTAAGTTTGATTGTTCTACTAATTATTTTGTTGCACATCTTTTAAATTATTTGTTATTGTTATTTGATTTATCACAATCATCGTAATAGAACCATTTGTCAAATTCATTTCGTGCAACATAACGGTTGTTAACCCAGAAACAGTTTACCTCTCTGCAAAGCAATTTTGGATTTCGTTTCTCACAACAATTTAGTAATTGTGCTACTGGCGTACTTTCATTATCAATGTATGCACATACGTTGTCACATGTTTGAAGTTTTGTCGCATTCATTTTAGGAGCTCATCTACATCTGGAATGGTTTCAACATCATCGGAAAAACACCGGCACTGTTGGAGCCGTTGGTGCAGCGTGTGGAGCGCACCCTGGTAGAGCTAGATGCAACTAAAGGTGACTTGAATCGCGCAGAATAATCACAGAATAGTTTCTACGTGTTCAGATAACAGAGCAGTAAGACTAAGGGTGGCGATAGTTAGGTGCGAGTCGCAAGGCATTTCGGACAATTTATCAAATTACTGTGCATCGTGAAATAGTAACCTGTAACCTCAGTCGATCCTAAACTAGACCTCCAAACTAGGTTCTACCAGTGACGTGAGTAAATAATAACTGTGGTCGCATTTGTTAAAACTGTTTGTTGTGAAATATAGTAAATACGTTTTTACTTCGATTTCGTTATTTCTGTGAAGACTTCTGAATTTCGCTCAAAGCCGCATGTCAAGCGTTTGGCAACTGGGAAATAAGTGACCACAACCCGTGAATGTTCAGCATAGCTTGGCATAAGTCGACAGGCACGAGCAGAGCTCGAGTTGAAAAGCTCTGTCCGCATGTGTCGAATAAAGCGTTGTATTCTTATTTATTATTATTATTATTTCTAATTTATTTTTTGTTATTTATGTTTTCGTCGCTTGGATGCTCACCTGCAGTTTTTTTTATCGCAGACGAGAACGAGAATTATGCGGAGGACTTTGCCCTCTGCATGCTCCTGAAGGGCATGTGTCTCAAAGGTCTCAAGTGCACTACTCAGGCGGAGAACTGCTTCCGCGAGGCGGCGGCGTGGTGCGTATGGCGTCCCGAAAATATAAAAACCAAATCATGTTCTGATTAAAACCTAAACTAAATAATTAAATATCAGTCCCACTTCTCTCTGTTGTTGTTACTCGCGTAGCTATACTTTTCCTTATACAATGACCCCCCGAAACAACTGTTAGTCGTTTGATGCCTTAGTTATGGTGATGAACAGATTGTATGTACTGTACAATATATATATATATGTCAGAAGTAGATAATAGGGAAGGAGTGTGACTTCAATAAACAAGGGAAATTCGTCATTTACTAGCCTTAGAATACCTACAATTTACTACGCGTAACTCAACCAACTTGAGCTCAAATCGTACACAGTACATTCGCCTAGCATCGTGCGAAATCGTTTCCTCGTATACACCCGCAATCCGGAGATACAGACTAAAACGTATGGCACGATTATCCATTCTGTTGCTAGCAAACCGAATGTATAAACCGCCTAACTTGAAACAAAAGGCAGCTACTAACAACTCTTGCGCACTCTTGCTCCCTCGGTGATGCGGTGTGGCTCGCTAGTAGCTGCCTTTTGTTTCAAGTTAGGTGGTTTATACATTCGGTTTGCTGGCAACAGAATGGATAATCGTGTCGTACGTTTTAGTCTGTATCTCCGGATTGCGGGTGTATACGAGGAAACAATTTCGCACGATGCTAGGCGAATGTACCGTGTACGATTTGAGCTCAAGTTGGTTGAGTTACGCGCAGTAAATCGTAGGTATTCTAAGGCTAGTAAATGACGAATTTCCCTTGTTTATTGAAGTCACACTCCTTCCCTATTATCTACTTCTGATATATGTGTGTGTGTGTGTGTGTGTGCGCGCGAGTGCATGTGCGTGTGTGTGGGACTCACGGTACTGTGGTATCGTTGACTGTTGATTTCACACGTTGCAGTGACAAGCGGATACGGTATGACCACTACATAGTCCCCTACAGTTTGGTGGAGCTCGGTCTCCTCTTCATGAGGGATGGGAGGTTTGAGGAAGCAAAACGTACGCTGGAACAGGCCAGGTACAAATCTAGACGAAAACGGGATTGACACGAGACGAAAATTGCACAATTAGAAATCAGAAAATTAAATTTTATCAGCAGTAAATAATCAGGAATAAGTAATCGTGAGTAATTTACGATTATTTACTCCTGATTTCATCAATGGAATACTTGATTATTGCATTATATGATGTTTTATTAGGGTTACTAGTGCAGGGCCATGCATAGAAAAATGTGACAAAATGTGACAAAATGGTTGGATTTATTTGATAACTGTTATAACAAGTAGTACCTGCCTTTTCATGCTCAATAGTGTCACATCACGAACATATCTATACATCTATTGTAGAAACACGTTCGTGGTCACATCTACCTAAAAGAACCACCACTCGTTGTGAATCGCCAGACGAATCCAACAGTTTCACGCGTCCCCACGTACCACGCTCGCGGCAATGCTGCGCGGTTTGTTTCGAGTGAGAAGAGGTTTCATTGTGCGACTCGATTTTTTCCCGATTTGCACAGGGGTGACTACAAGCACTACTCGCAACACTGCGCGGTTTGTTTCGAGCGAGAGGTTTTATTCTGCGATGCGATTTTTTTTCAAATTTGCGCAGGGGTTACTACAAGCACTACTCGCAACACTGCGCGGTTTGTTTCGAGCAAGAGGTTTTATTCTGCCAATGCGATTTTTTTTCCGATTTGCGCAGGGGTTACTACAAGCACTACTCGCTCGAGTCTCGGCTGCACTTCCGCATCCACTCGGCGCTGGCGGAGGTGCGGCAGCACGTGTCGCCCGACCACCTGAAGGCAGAGTTCAAGCCTGCAGGCTACAGCCCGATGCACAGCGGCGGCAGCTTCCCCCAGCCATTGACGCCACCACCAGAAGTAAGCGAGACAAAATCGAACGAGAAGAAGGGGGTTTGGACGATCTGTCTGTCTGAGTGCGATGGCTACGCCCTCCGCGTGTAAATATTGTTGCTAGGTCGATCAAGCAAATTAGTTTTGTCTATTAAAAAATGTAATTCACAAGTGTAAATAAAGTAAATTGAATTGAAATTGAATTAAATCAAACTCGCACAGTTTGTTCGTAGTTTCACAAGTGTGCGTGGAAAACTATTGCCTCCGTGGCACTTCGTTGCTAAGCGTTGTCTTTATAAGGCAATATCGTGACACCAATTGGCTAGAGCTGCCCTTCAATCGTGGAAGGCTTATAGGTCAAGTGGGCTGTTGGTTTGGCAAGCAGGATTAGAGGGAAATAGCACGATAGGAATGTAGAGGTGTACAGAGACAATAATAGAATGTTTTACCAATGGTTCCTCACGGTTTTCCTGTGTAAGGTAATGAATTAACTGTAAGGATGTAACCGTAATAGTAAACATGTGGTTGGACGGACACGGCCGGTGAAGTGGCGTACACTCTAACTTGATCCTGTTGATTTCCACAGGCTGTAATAGGTGCTGGCATGGCTTCAGCTATCCAACCTCTAACCAGCGATGGTGCGGAGTTGGACCGTTTGAACTGTGATACAGCATGCGAGGCTATTGAAAAACCCATATGACCCTGTGTGACCTTGCTGCGGCAGCCATATTTGTTAGCAGTGGTCCTCCTTTAGGGTGTTGTCATACTCACAGCATAAGGTACTAATATTCTAGTCCTAAATTTATTTACTGTATTGGTTTATATAGGTGTTAATTAAAATTAATACACATAGGTATGCGAAGTAGCAAGTTTGTAACCTTCCAGCCACGTATATGTTTCTTACCAGAGCCTCATTGACAGTATTTACAAATGCACGTTAATAATTTCTTGAAATTCTACTTTTATTGAAGTAAATTTTTTTTTTTGATTTGGATCGAGTTTTATGATTTACGTTTTGTTTGAAATATTTTCTTTAGTGATGGAAGGTGGAATCACTTGTGGAAGCAACTTATTATTGTTATTAATACAAACTTTTGTTGTCAGATTCCTTTATGTACATATATATACAGTGATATGATGTGCATGTGCAATGTGAACGACTAAATAGTTATACTTTGGGTGTGCCATATTTCAGTTTGTAGAACGAAGCATGTATGTGTATAAAGACTGCCGTCATGCTATGTTGCATTGTTAATGTGTCTATGAAGATGTATATTTCTGGGCGCAATTCTTCGTTACAGACTTCCAGCTATTGTAGAGTGTGATATAATGCTCACATGTAGTGATAGTGTAATGTGTCCCACTACATCAATTCCGCAGTTCACAAAATGTTAATTCAGTTTTTTGTACGTAGGGGGAATTATTCATGCTCATAGTACTATCGTCCATACTACTACGGTCATAGCAGCAAGGCCCACAAAGGTGTATGATATTTTACAGACACGTGTATAGCACTATTAAACCATGCAGACATATAGAAATGCAATGCCAACACGAATAGTCAGAGCACATTAGAATAGTTGAGCTCACATACCTACGCACAAAGTACACCGGTGTGATTTGCTAACTCGTGAGGCTTTCGTTGACAATGCAACATTCGTGAATGTTCGTGGTCTTGCTAGTCACAGAAATACTTTTCACATAATATATAAATATATATATATATATATATATATGAAATGAGGTTACGAGCGCACAAATTTCTTTGTCGTGCCTTGTGAACTTACATCTAAAGATGTGTATTTACTTTAGGGGGATATCTCCAATTCTCTAGGTTTAGACATTGTTGAGTATTAACTCCTGACTGTATGTATATATATACCATATATGTGATATTAGTGAACAGATTTGTTGTTATATTGTTGTCATATATTAAAGTTATTATGATAATAATAATAAATAAAAAAGAACAGATAGAATTGCTGAATTTATTTACAAATCAAATATAGTGCATTCTAACAAATTGGTTTATTTTCGACAGGGTCTCATATAACTAGTGATTTTTTGGGCATTTAGTTTCTATATAGTACCTACCACCTAGCTTTAGACTAGCTTAGACTTTTCTTATGGCCCCGTTCTGTGACTACTGTCATGCTAGCTACACTACAGCAGGTAGTTGTCAAGTCATAAGTCAGAACTATGCATGTATCCTATCGTAACATTAAGACATGTCACCGTTTAAAGTACATGTATCGCATCCGTCTACGCTGATGTTCCTTCATGGGTTAATGTTACTACGATGTATGCATGTAACCATGAACCCATGTATATTTAATATTTAAACTGTTAAACATAGATGGGCACAAGACGTAACCGTGTAATACGTTATACATGCTACCAAATAAATTCCAGTGGGGTGAAGTACAATATATGCGGTTAGTTGCCATATAAAAAAAACTGCAATATAATTTCAATCACGATGGTACTACATAGACCAGCCACCAACCAAGTCCTAATTTCTCTGATTGTTCCAGTACATCTTTTGAATGTGTGGCTACTACCACCACTAAATTTGTCTGAACTTGGAATGTTTTCTTAACGTTCCGTCTCGAGCGCTCTTTCGAAACACGACTAGTGGAGAACATCTAAATTTGCTAATGACTAAGAAACACCACTAAAAAATCGAAGCGGTAACAGGACTACAAACCCTGAGTAACCAACTACTGGTGTACTGGTGACCTACAGACTACTAAACCATGCTAAGCGATGACGATGCACCGGGGGTTACATTGTAAGTGGTACAGAGGCAGTACCTCTCCGTCAAACGGCCGCACAACTGCCACGGCGGACTCGGGCCGGAACTGACCGGTGTCCATCCCAACCCATGATGCTGCATGTCGGACAAACTCCAACCTAGTGGTTTTGAAGAGTGAGTCGTCATTCGAGCATCGTCGGGGCGAGGATGTCGACAGGAGAATCCCGGCTATGGGTCCAACCTGACTACGCAAAGTACTTCTCCAAGTCTGGCACCAACGCCTGCGGGAAGAGCAATCGGAGCGACGATTGTTTTACTTTCTTATTTAATTATTAATATTATTATTGTTAATTAACCTATGATTAATTATCCTGTGCATTAAAAAATTAAATTATCCAATCAATAAACAAGTAATTATATCTGTCATATGCATCCATAACATTGTGTCTGGACAATCTGTGATACAATGTTATGGATGTATATGACAGATATTTGTTAAATTGGTGACTAAATTATACATTCCATGACTCGTCCATATACTTTGCTGACGCATTATGACACCCCTTTCTAACTAACGTGTATGTGTAACTGTAAATATACGTTCGCATTACCTTCGGCTCAACGTTCGGAGCATAGCGTTTCACTGGCTGTCCATCCTTGTCAACCAGAAACTTGGAGAAGTTCCATTTGATGAAGCTGAAAATAGGAAAGGTGATGGATGAAAACGTTGTGGGAATTCAAATAAGTACTACACAAATAAGCAAGCTTTCTGTAGGCACTAACTGCAATCACTACACACTTGAATAAACTCTGTAAGCACCAATTAAGTACTATTACTACACACTTAAGTGAACTCACTCTAGGCACTAACGACGAGTACTACACACTTTAAAAACATACTTTGTACGCTCACTAACTGCTAGTACTAGACGTGCCTTCCCAGCGTGCCGCCCTGCTTGTGCTTCAGGTACTTCCACAACGGGTGTGCGTCGTCACCATTGACATTGATCTTACTAAACATGTCAAACTTCACACCATAACCTTCAGCAAATGTCTTAATCTCTGCCTCCGTGCCAGGTTCCTGTGTAAGGTACATAGGTACTGTATGCATGAAGTCATTATATGCCAGGTGCCTTTAATGTGCATACAATTTATACACATGAAGTCATTATATACCACACTCATGTATGTATGTATGAGGTCATTAATAACATAATGATAATAATATATGGCAATTAATACTTGATTAATAGCTGAAGGCATTTATACCATGCTGCTGTACATGTAAAACCATTTCTGCCATATTTCTATATGAGCAGTCATTTATTGGTGGTTGTATATATATATGAAGCAATTCCAATCATGCACCTATTTGTATGCAATCATTCGGTGCTGCTATGTGAGCTGTATATATATATGAAGCAATAAACACCAATGTCCACACAGGTGAAATTTGCCAAACACTTACTAGCATCCATGTATGAACGCCCACTTTGAGGCTACTCACCTGTCCACCAAACTGATTGCAGGGAAATGCGAGGATACGAAGGCCTTTACTCTCAGCATACTGGGAGTGTAACTCCACCAGCTGAGTGTAGTTGGCCTTCGTGAACCCTCATTTAGTCGCTACATTTACGATGACGCATACGTGTCCCCTGTACAGAGAAGAGAGAGAGAGAGATATTTCAATATCTTACTACAGTAGTCTACATCACAGAGTTGTAACGTGAAATTGTTTATAGATATGTATAACTCATGTTCCACGGATATGTTCACGGTTGTAATTGTTAAACTGCATTTTTTACTATATGTATGTTTGTTTAAGTTAACAAAAAAAGGATCATCAACAGGAGTCATCATTTATACATGTGGTTAATTTAACTTATGTTGGTCTGTTGCTAATCACAACTGTAAACTGATCCCAAACAATAAAGTTGGCATGGAACTGTAACAGTTTGAAAATATTTCATTTTTGTCATCAACTAACCTGTACTTTTCCAGCGACACATTGTTACCATCGATATCTTTTGCAGAGAACTCATAAATAGATGCTGCCTTTTTCGGTTCTGCGGGGTTTCCTAATTCGGCCTAATATGAAAAGACTCAGGAGTTGATGCCAGTCTTAAACTCCAGATTGCACAAATAAGCACTTGTTACGAATTAGTTTCAGGTCCCATTACTATCTTTAAAAAAATCCAATTATAAAAATAACTTATTTATTACAGATAAAATGAAAGTGTCAATGATACTGTAGCTCACCACAAAAAAGGACACAAATGAGTGAGTGAGAAGAAGTCAGTTTTAATTAGGCAACCATCGACGTACATTATAGAAATGAAGAGTATATATGGGAGAACTTCCATTATATACTCTTGATAATTATATGTGTAATTTTTTATGGGAAAATAAATGTTTGAGATGTGAAAGTCTGAGATGTGGGCGAGTGATGGTGTTACACCTAAATGATCGCCATTTAACGTTTTTATAATATTCAGATTTAGGCACTGCCTGAAAGCGGAGCTCCCGATGTGTAACGTGTAAGATTGAGAGGATACGCTTATTCCACGTAGCTGCTATATACCACGTGACAATAGTGTTTGCCTGCCCATAACACAACTTTTGTCAAAGGCTAATTGGTTGCATGGAAGTGTTTACTTCGTATGAGTTTTTCTAGGCGGTAGCACACGGTTGCCATCTGTATATCGCAATAATAATTTATAAACCAAAATGAATCACAATTTGTGACAGTAGATGGCGCTATACTCGCTTTGATGTTTCTTAGCGATGGCATTCGAAATAAATGGGTTATGCTGCGTTCCGACATGTTTTGTAAAACTTTACTCTAATATAGACGTTTTATCGGCAGGGTGGAGAGGAAATATCAATTTTGCATTAAAGATATTGTAAAACGAATCAGCCGAGTGTGACACCACAGACTGTTATCTGCGTGTCTATAACATAATATGCTATATAATTGCCAAAACCTACCTAATTTGCATAAAAAATTTTAAATATTAAAATCCCTAGCCCTTATTCATTCACATACCAAAAATGACCAAAATCCGTTGAACCTGAACTGACTAATAGCAATTCCCATTTTTGCCAAAAAATTGCCGTGGCTCGAAAGTACGTCGACTGGATAGGACGTTCAATATGGGAGCATAACAGTAACAACTATACCCAATTTCAAACATGTGGGTCAAATGGTTCTTGAGTTATCATTGATCGTAGCCAAATGTTGACGGAAGAACGGACGGACGTACGACGGACGGCCCATGGCAATAGCTCATCTTGACGATGTCAAGGTGAGCTAACAATATTATACAAATGTTCAGACTATTTTTATTATCTGACTCGTACTGCAAACTATGTATTCAATTGATGCCGAGCTGTAAAGATAGGTCAAAAGTAGCATTTGATAAAGTCGTACCATGGTAGATAATGCAAATATGGGGCCACAGGTTCCACCAACGATACCACCAAACGTGAGTACTCTCCTGGCAACTCCACTTATCATTCAAGAGTTATTGATACCTGCAAATAACAAAAATGCTACATAATACATAGTTTAATGTAAATATATCAGCAGAGTACATAAATATCACTACACGTTCTCAAACAAAATTGTGCTGTGGTGTAGGGAAATGCCAGGAGTGGCATATCAGAGCTTCCATGACATGGGGTCCCTGATGGTGGGTGGGTGATGGGCAAGATTCCTGTGGGGTAGGAAACTCCACCGCACGATTTTCGCCGATCGCTACTCACTTCTTTCAGATTTCTCAAACTTTTCACGCCTCTACAACCTCCATTTTTGGCTCGTTCTGCCCTCTATAGTCCACTGAACACAACATGTAACTTAGTACCGTGGCCGAGAAGTGCAAATGTTCTTTGTAATGCAGAGATGCCAACATATACTTGAAGCAATCTGTAGTTTCTGGCCATCAAATTAGTAGTAATTAGTAGTTTGAGGGTTACGAGGGGGGTTGCGGGAGGGGGTAGCGGGGGGGGTCAGGTCCAGGGCGAAGCCTGGTCAGGGGGTTCAGGAAGTTTTTTGAATTTTCACAACTTACAAGGCATAAAATTGCATTAGGAGACACATACAGAACAGAATTGTTACAGAGCATATTACAGTACACTGCAGGGAGCATATCTTGCACTGTCATTATCATAACACCAAAATTAATAATTAATACAAAAATTATTTTAATGTAATCTTCCACACTGTCCCAAAGACTAACCTTTATATAATATAAGATGTTAATTGTCCAGGCAGTTTCAAATTTGTTTCTGGTCACTACAGTAGATATTTGATCATATTGAACAACTTTAGCGGCTTGTCCTACTGCCAAGGCAAGTCTGTGAGCCCCACAGTGATTAGACATCAGGAAAGGAAACGCTTTATTTGCTACGCCAAAAGTTGCCCAAAAATCCTCCCTTGCGCGCACGATATAATATTCCTAACACCCTAGGAGCTAGGGCGCGATCCCGGAACATTAATTTTTTACCGTTTTCAAAGGTCACCGAAAAAGGCAGCTCGCGACACCACCTTTTATGGTTATCAGGGTTCATAGTAGTAAGACACATGTTGAAATAAGGACTTATAAGACCCTTTCTGGAGGCCAAAATAAGACGTTTTTACGTGATTTCTGATAGACCACCGACTATTAAAGTACACTAATAATATTTATATACACAATTGCACAGCAGATTTAATTATTCCATATTATATATACAACAATTCTTACTCTAAGTCGAGAACAGTAAGTCGAAAAATAA